TATATTTATTACAAAATAAAATGCAGTCCCAAATGTACGTAACTATAACAGTAGATGAATGATACGTTTATCATGCTCCGTGCTCTTGTTTACGAAGCGAAAGTTATTTATCAATTCAATTCATTAGGTTTTTGTTTGTCTTAATGGGACTAGTAGTTGTGTGGGCCAGAATGACGAAGCTATAATAGCTTGTAATGAAAAGTCCACACGTCTAAAGAACCCGCGAGCGTTCTTGCACTCGTAATATTGTATTGTCGAACAATTCTTTTAACTTTTATACTAATTGTAACTTTTACTTTCGTTTATCGATTGGCGAAAGGTGAAAACTTTTACTATATGAATATCTTTGATATTAAATGTAGATTCCATTTTAAATGCGCTTGCGCAGTCTCATTGTTTGCTTCGCCGCAATAGTTCTTTGGCGCGTAGTTAAGTGACAAATATATATACATACCTACTTAGAACGATGTTATAGCATGTTGAATTAGTATTCATAACTTTAAAATTCAATATGTAGATTAACATTATTTTTAATCCTTTATAAGTACGTTTATTTAGTTACTTAATTTTATAATATCATCTTTATCATTAAAACCATACCAACAAATATGCATACATTGCATATGTCTGTCATATGATACGAGTTAAGGTAACTTAATTAATTACGCTTAAATGAAATCAATATTTTTGTCTGTTAACATAGCTAATAACCACATTTTGCGTAAATAAAACAAATCGTCAAATTTATTCACAGTTTATAATAAATAGAGTTATACGAAACAAGAGTTACTTTCAGTATGGAATAATGAAAAATTTGCGTCATATTTTATCCGACAGAATGCGATACAATAAAAGTGCTATAAAGCCACTGAGAGTAAGAGTGCGTTCGCAACACGAAGATTATGATTAATTTTCTAAGTAATGAACTCCGCCACGATTTATTAACAGGTGTCTCTAATTAAATGCCGCATTGCTTTCCCCGAGCATTGTCTGTACTTGCGCAACGGACCCTCTACCTGTCGTCTGTTCCCACACATTCTTCCTCTTACGCTTACTGTCACAATTCCATTTATTTTAATTTTGTAAAAGGGTACATGCAATTTCTTTTCAATGTATTTTTATCTTTTGTTTTTTGTATTCTGTGCCTTATAGCTCAATGGTTATTCGTAACGATAACGAGTCTAAAACGCGAGAAGTTTTGGGTTCGACTCCGTAGACTTTCGTTCGGCAAGATACATCAACTTTCCCGTAAATCAAATTGATAAATGAAACTAGTATAACATTTCTACACATAATACACAGTTGTCAATTATCACGGTAGCTTGGCTAGAGCAACAGCACGGAACGCTGTGGATGCGAGTTCAAGGGCTACCCGTGTCGTAAATTTTTTTCTATGTAAAATCATTTTCAATTTAGATAATGCCATGTGTAATAAATATATAAAGAATCAAAGTTTTCCAACATTATACACAGTTATTAATTTCGATCTAACTACGTGGCGATGTAACTTTTTTTTTACTTGCGGCGTCGCTCACACCTCAATACGAATCAAAAGATAACAATCTAATTAGTCAAAGCCTAAAGCTATACAATACTAATCACTTCCTGATTTCACATATTAAAATAAAACAAATAAGACGACGATAAAGACTTATTATTTAGGGTGATTTGCAGACAAGTATTGTGTACCGGAACATTCGCTCTCTAATGTCGACGGCGCTTAGAATATGGTTTGTGGCGCCCACCATCTAGGCTCCAGTCGTATTGCGTAACAAGGCACCTTACAGAGGCAACTTGCTTTGTTCCTGTTTGTGATTGGACGAAATGTACTAAATAACAAAGTAATTACCATTTCGCGAGAGGTGCATGTATCAATGGCTTGAAGAAATTTAAATAAAACACTTTAACGGTTTAAAACGCGATATATTAGTTAAACTTATTTGAAATTGATTTTTAACTTCGGCCCGACGTTTCGGATGCTTTGCAGCAGCCGTGGTCACGGGGAGACTGCTGCTGCAAAGCATCCGAAACGTATTATTTAAATGTGTACTACTCGCGTATACTGTAGACAGTATTTGAAGAAATTTGTCAATGACGTTTAGGACACGGTATCTGGATTGGTTAGTGAACACGGAACGCTGAGGATCAAGTCTCGCCCGATTTTCTATCTAGATAGATTTTTAATTTGAAGACTTACATTAGCGAGTTTCAGCTTTTTCTCAGCTTCGTGTGCTTAGTTAAAAATACATATCAGAAAAATGATGGCCAGACAAATTTACGAAGTAACTTAGCATGAACACAGTTAACATGTATAATTTTATTATTTTGAACATCTATATAGATAGATAGCAGATCAAAATTATTGGGACAATTAAAACACATTTCTAATTCAATAACCTAAATATATTATTAGTTTGTATATTTATCAAAATGCGGCCAGATAGCTATAAAATAATATTGTTAGGCAGTAAGTGAGGACGCGGTCTGCTTGTGGTTAACACAATTACTATCAATTGGCTACACGTGACGCGCTGTGGCATTTCTACGAAAATTATTTGGTATCGTACTATTTATTTACTTTCTCATAAAAATATCGGTTTCATACAATATATGAGCTTAAAAACAATTGAACTTCTATTCAATGTTTTGATTAAAACCGTTAATAGTGTTTTATTGAGCTTAGCACAAGAATATTGAAATATGCTGCAAATGGCCTTTCTAATAACGGCTTTCTTTCTTAATAACGTGCGTTGTCGAGCTATTTTTATTGCACTTAATTGAATATATTTTATAAAACATGTTGGACGCTTTAGGAATCCCTTTCACGATCCGTTAATCATTGAGATTTTTTTGTCTTTGCAATGCAGCAGCGAGTCTGAATAGAATATAAGTTTTCGTAGATAAAACGTAGCATGGCCGTAGCTAAGTGCGCTATCGATAGCTTTTGCGTCTACGGTTTGCTTACATTACGTAAGTATTGTTAACCGTGCGACCAGGATATCTACTTCCTTATTATTAATGGAATAGTGTGTTTGCCACGCTCCTACGTAACTTGGCATGGAGTTAAATGTCTATTCCGAGAGAAACATAATCTAGATTTATTTGCATATTCTAATATTAACACAAGGAATCATTCTAGAATGCTTTTTTTGCGTCGTTCTCTTCTAGATATTATTTAGATTTACCATAATAGACAAGAGTAAAATATTTTGAAGTGACAACTGAAAATGTCTGGTGGTGGGACCGCTTCCTTAGACATAACGTAACGCTCTACGGCGCCACTTTGTGTGGCGTCTCAAGACACTGTGGAGTTCAGTAATTAGGCACATTTGTTTATTGGTCCTGTATCAATTATCTCTATGTGAAAAAATAACGAAATGGTTTTTTGTCTTTTGTTGTAGTTCCTACTACGCAAAGTCGAGTGACGTTCGATATTTTTTTTATAATAGAGGGGGATAGAAAACCATGGGAAAACCAACCAAACGTAACACCCGAACAAGATGCCGTACCGACCTATTTCGGCTTTTAATATTCGGAAAAGTTTTATTAATTTCCTTATTCTACACATCTTTATTTCAATTAAGTAACACGTAATAATATGGTAAACACTCTTGTGTGGTCGGGTTGCCGCTGAGTAGTCTTCTAACAAGCAAGTTTTTGCGTTCATTAGCTGCCTTGGACCAGTCCTCAGCCTCTAGCCGCTCGCGCAAGAAATAAATTAACATTGATCTTTGATTATATTAGCGACCAGTGAACCCGCAAGATTGGCACTTTTTGCGGCGTACGTGCCTCAAATAATTTCTATAGAAATTACATTTTTGTAGTAGTTTCATTGGTTCGGTCTAGTTTGTTAGTTTCTGATATAAATAAAACAATTGTATTAAAAAAAATATTTACTAAAACTATAAGTACCAATTACAATTTTGATTGACCACAATTTTATACATAAATTTGGAAAATAAAACTAATATACAGTATAATTAAAAAGAAGGTATTTTACAAAAAAAAATTGTCCGTTTTAGGCCATTTAATCACAATATTATTTATGAAACGCCAAGACTTGAGTATAAAGCCTCTTTCATTCTCACAATTATTCAAGTAGGTAACTTTTTAAGTGTAATTTTATTAATATACCAAAAAACAATTAGTTATTATGGCCTCGAATACCAAGCCTTTATATACATTTATGATTGGTCTATTTTTTACATTTTACCATAAATAGTTAAAGCAATCCTGGGCAGATCACTGTGCGAATAACTAAATCTGACGCAACACAATTCTAGTCTAACATAGCGATTTGCATACAATAGGCTGATAATAAACGCCCGCTGTCCGTCCATTGCCAACCAGCATTGATGCTGAATATCCTAACTGCATTGTACGCTGACCTGTCATTACATAGTTGTAACATATACAGTCATAAACCCCTTTATACCCGAAGACATCAAAGCAAAAATGATGTAGTCAGCCTCTGTACCCATCTTTCACGTTTAATTACATTAAGATGCCAAATGATTCGTTGATAACGCGGGTCATGGGGCTAACACATTTCCGTGTCTGTTTCTGATCGGTTCTATTTACAGGTAAGTAGATGTCTTCTGTCCCAATCGAAACAATCAATTGTCTCTCTGGAATTCGAACCCAGGACCTCTCAATGCTAGGCAACAAGTTAGCATCCTATTAATTCATTATTGTCTGGAAGTAATTATAATAATTTGTCTATAAGTTTAATATATATCGCGTTTGTGTAGTGCTCGCGTAAACTGCAGACGTTATTTTAATGTCGGAAAGTCAGCGGGAAAATGTTATCTCAAAAAATCAACTGTTTCTTTTTCTGTTAATTAAAGAAAGATACATTATAAAATGTCTACACAAGAATATTATCTTATTCAATCAGACAGACGCAGTTTATTTTAAAAAATGTATTTCTGTATATTTGATTATAGTGTTTTTGAATTGTTTGTTTCCCTTTTTTTAATAGCCCGTTTAATGTGTTTCAGTTGGTTGTGAACTTGGGTCTCGTGGTGTACCGAGCTTTGGACTACACGCACGGAGAAGATGAGGAGCGCCTCATCTCGCCGGATCTAGAGGCTCTCATCACTGACATGACCATCTCAAATGGGACTATCACTGGTAACTAACAAATATTGATTTTTCTTTTCCTGAATCAAGCGTCACGAAAGCGCGTTCTTGAATACAGTAAAAATGTTGACATAATCAAAGACAATTGTGGCATTAGAATTTATATAGAGCAAAAAATATTTTTTTAAATGTATTGAAAACTTTGATAGTATGTAACTCTGCTTGTCGTGCGTTCAGGTTCCGCCCGCAGCAGTAATTTTAAATTTTTGATTGCCGTTCATAAGCGTTTAATTTGGTTAATATTCGTTTCTTAGTAAAGAAATTGGAGCCAAATGTAACATTTTTATTTAAGCAATGCTTACGCGAGTAGTACATAGTGAAAGAAGGCACTTTAACTGTTCTAAACGATGTAACCATTTTTTGTAGGATAGCATCCAAATTTTAGGAAGTTATAAATTGTACAGTAATTTCACTTTTTAAACCGTCGATAATGGTTTTATTTAGCCGTCGTTAATTTATGATGCAGGGTCAAGCGAACGTGTCTTGTGCTCTCTGCCGCTATAATGGACTATGCAATTAGAACACCTTACAAATAAGTACAATCAGTTTCGCCGCTGACTTTCCCATGGTGTCGGTCGCGCAGTATTTGACGCTTACTTGAGGTAGATTGATGTTATGCCACAATCACAATATTGTTATAAGACCAGCCCACTTAGAACTACTTTTTTTTTAGGATAAATTAAGTTCTCTATAATCATTTAAGTAATAAAATCAGAAAACTCTATAATAACCATTGAACAAGAGCAATTTAATATAATTTATGTGACGATTATGTATTTAAATTAAAGGCATGCACAACGTTGCTATGAAATTAGACATTAGAATTTGCTTTTTTAAATTTGTTTTTTTATTTATGAAATTTGGTCAATCTATTTTAAAAAACACAATTATATAAATATTTATGTCACATATATTCAATAGAGGAGGACAAGCACTATGTTCACTTGTTTGAAAGTTGAAATACCCAAACCAAATAACATCTAAAGAAGCTCTAGATATTCAAAAATACATAGAGAGAAGCCGAGTGCGACCCTGACGAAATTGCGATGTTTCTACCACCCAAGTTATTATTATAATGTATAAAGTACTGCTTGTTTACTTAATTTATAATGAAGTTTGCACGTTTTATTACCACACCAATACCTGTTCTTCTGCTAAACTATAGCTTGGTATTCGTAACGAGGTAAATACCCACTTAGTATGTAACAACATTGCACTCCAATTAAACGGCGGCTTTAAATCCAATAAAAAGAGGAAAAGTCTATCGGTAAAGCTCTTTTAAGACTATGGTCTATATTATACTAATATTATAGATTAGTATAGTTGACGGGTTGGTTTGTTTTAACGCGCTAATCTCAGGAGTTACTGGTTTGCATTGAAAAGTTATTTTTGGGTTGGATAAAACATTTATCGAGGAAGGCTTATTATATTACGCGACTACCAATGGAAGCGAAGAAAAAATGTAAAATGTGAAAATGCATATATATTTTTTATTATGATTTGAAGGCCTCCGTTGCGTACAGTTCGAAAAAGGTTTAAAAATAGAAAATAATAAGCATTAAAACAATTATATAAAAAAATACAACAGTATATGTCTGTCTTTTGAGAATAACTCGCAAGGACCGTTTTTATGGCTATTAAATAGGTCGAAATTAAGGTGTTTGGTAGAGTTTAGTTAGTTTAGCAAAATTATTTATTATTAATTTCGCATTTAAAACAGTTAAAAGTTTACTTGAAGTAATATATCGTAGCGTAGTCTGAGAAGAGCCTAATATATAATAATACATTAAACTCTCAATTGGAAAGCATGGAAGTGGAGTGTTTTCACACGGTGTATTGTATTCATTAATAGTGTTCATGGGAAGTTCGATGAGAACCGTGTTGCGATCTCGTCGTGTAGCCGTCCTGCTGCGATTTAGATGGACTGCGGAGACGTGCCCCGTTCACGCTTAGGTGTTCGTTGTTTTCGTATTCTGTGACCTTTGCGCTTTCCGTTACTTGCTTTGCCCCAGCCTCTTGCTACACTAGGCGATACCGGAACCGAAATAAAACATTTCATTCATAACAAAATATGTAATCAAAACAACTGACAAACTGTATTGTTTGTCCAAAATGTTGGTGTTTTGTTTTTCCATCTGTCACTTGTATTTTATGACGCGATACAAAGAATATACAGATAAACGAGACAACACCGTGAGTCAGTTCTGTAAGCACTTTAGTGTTATGATAAAATAGATGGCGCTAGCGTAGCAGATTGACTTTGACATAAATTAAATTCATAATTTATTAGTTATATTATATAATACCATAACTAGCGTCTCCGATATAGTTAGCTTACCATCTCGAATCATAGAATAATTCGTTACGATTTTTCACAATCCCACGTGTTACACGTGTATGACGTGACGTGCATTATGCATTCAAAATTATAAAGCTAAACAGATTATAATTCAAGATCACAACAGTATGAGCTGTAACTGTTTGATCGTAAATGTTGTTAGTGCGTGAGAACATTTTTTTTCCAACAAGTGATCTTGTCCAACGGTTACTATTGTTTGAGGCACTAGGTCGGGGTTAAGTATATGGACGCCTGTGATGCCTTGGTGCCATAATTAAATCGCAAAGTGCTTTATATTGCTAGGTGATATACCCCATAAAAAGTCAACGCCTGGGATGGTAGCAGTTTCTAGCCATAACAGAACTTTTATTGTAGTATGTATTAGGGCTGAATAAATATAGACCGAAACCGGAATTTCGGTATACGCTTATTTTATAAAATAGTAATTTTGATCAACTTGGTTTGTGTTATTTTGTATTATAAAGCACATCGTATTGTATAAGTTCATATTTGTTTTAACGAGGTTTAAGAATATATTAAAATTCATGTTTAATTTTTCTAATTTAATTTAGCAGCACACACGAAGTATATACAAATATATTTTAAAATTTGTCTTAAAATACAACTATTCAAGAAAAAATCTATATAATATTATTACTAGTTATGGAGTACAATGTGCGACCTTATCGCACTACAGTGATATCTTCCGGGCAACCCTTACATTAATTGTAGTTTAACTAACGTATCTAAGTTATCTATTAAGACGGCGTTTCATTTCAAGTTTTAGCTATATCCGAAGTTCGGTTTAAGAATTGTTAAATGATTTTAATCCGAACTTTGGCTCATGCCCTGTACTATTACTAGTAAGGAATACGTATACGGCGAGACATGATTTGTATTTCTATTCTTTAAGAATTACAGTACTCAATCGATGACAGCCTGAGAACGAGTTACTAGAATCTTTCAACTAAAAATATTTACAGAATATACTTTAATCTGTGGTTCGTGAACAGGACGCAAAATTCGACATACCTATCACCCTTTAAATAAAATTTCCCGACGAAGTCCAATATGTGTTGGAAAAAAAAAAAAATTGATTGAGGACATCTTGGACCCGGCGGGGATCGAATAGACGGCCCATTGTTTATTAGCTATACATTGCTACCATGACACCAAAGAGCCTTCATCATGAAGAATAAAGCTTCTATATAATTATCTTATTCATCTTGTTGACTTAGTCGGTAAAAAATCTCCCTTACGGTAAATAAAATGACTATACGTTCTAGTAAAAAACTCTTACGATACCTTTGATAATAAACTGCAGTTGTGTCACTTATTACACGACAGTCGTCACTTTGCAGTTGTCAGTTACGAGAAGCGGGTCTCTGTTAACTGTTACACTTATTACGTGATTGATGCGCGTGATTGAAATTCCACTGTTGAAGTATCGCTAGTGAATAAATTGCAACGCTTAACATATTTTCTTCATAATGTAATATAGTTCGTAACATAGTACAAAAAAGTTTCATTTAATGCATTCACTCGCAAACAGATACAGCATGTTATTGTTTTTCGGGCTGTTCGGCTGACGTGAGCGTGAAGATGTTCGCGTTTCGCCATCACGAGCAGACGGCATCATGAGGAGATGTTAGCTCAACGATTGCTCGAAGAATTCTTCGCGCTCACGTCGGCCGGATAGCCCGAAGAACAATGATATGCTGAACAATTTATTAACTGTAGATACATTTCTTATAGTCAAAGTTCTTGCTTGGAGAGCAAAAAGGTTTTTTTATTGATAGAGGAGGACAGAAAATCGTGGGTTTACATGATGGTAGGTAAAATACCCCCAACCACGACACATCAAGTCAAGGTGCCCTTTCGACCTATTTAGCTTTGGATATTTTGAATAGATTATAAGTCAAGTATAATTGAACTCCCGTTTCCCCTTCTGGGGCATGGGCATTTCTGTATCCGTTACACTGTTCGGTTCTTTTACAGGTCTTTACCTTTTAAATAAAACACTTTAACGGTTTAAAACGCGATATATTAGTTAACTTATTTGAAAATGATTTTTAACTGGTCACGGGGAGACTGTGACTCTCACCGTGACCACGGCTGCTGCAAAGCATTTAAATGTGTACTACTCGCGTAAACTATAGACAGTATCTAGGTCTTTACCTGATCGAAACAATCTATTGTTTCCTTGGGATTTGAACCCAAGAGCTCTCGCGCTTAACGCAATGCGTCTGTCTCTCTTCGACCGACTCTTTACAAGCAAACTTTAAAATATTTGCGTACGTCAGTTTGCTTATTTGCAAGTGCAAAGTTCGAATGCCGGACAAAGCTCATCGCCGGAACGAGTCCACAAGGCATCTTAAATTGTTGTACAAGGTGTAGCACATTTTACTTTCATTAACTGAACCCATGTTTCTCTATCTCTAAAAAACAAAATCACGTTTTAAATCTGCCATTATAAGGCCCGACTGTAGTATACGATGCTTGTAAATTTACATCTTGATACCTGCTCAGGGCCGGATTTCGTGAGTAGGTCACTGACACTGGGTCACTGGGTCTCATGTTTTTAAACTCTTGCACCTTATCGAAATGCTGATTTATTTAATATTATAACTTTTTGACTTCACAGTCGATTTCTCTATTTTGGCCAAATTGTACAGCTTAGATGGACTATGCTGTATTTTTTTGATTGTAGATACGCGAATGTACGCATTTAGATAAAACATTTTAACTGTTTAAAACTGTGATCACGTGACTACAGCTACAAAGCATCCGAAACGTCGGACCGTTGTTAAAACAATTTTCGAATAAGTTTAAGCAATATGTTTTGCGTTTTAAACCGTTTAAATGTTTTATTTGAATATGTTTTTTATTTAACAATACAAGTATGTCAGGTAAAAAATTATCTAATTATAACATATATAACGTATGGTAACCCAACCGATGAGGTTGTAATTCTTTTTACTATATTATCTAAGATTTAGACGTCTAGCGTCTAATGATATATTTGGTACAATGGGTCTAGGCCAATGTTGAATGTGTGACAAGATGACAACATGCAAAAATCTTTCAAATATTTGTTAAACATATTTGACGTAAGTGAAAGTTTGCGAATAAAAAATTGGAGAAAGTTCGACCTTCAATTAAGAGTGAATTTATTTGCAAATATTGTGTATCAAGAATATTATTGATACTTAGTGATTACTTTCTCGAAACGTAATCGTTCAAAGCGCTTTGTGCTTTTAGCTCGTTTTATTTTTATTTAAATATATTTTTCGTGATAGAGTAGGACAGACTAACTTGGGGTTCTATTGATGGAGAGTGAAATACAAAATCTAATTAAAACGCACCGTCGAACTATGATGGCTGTGTATAGTCAGATTCATAGACTAAAATGACGGCAGCGCTAAAAAAAGCAAACGGGGTCTTACATAATATGTACTTTTTTTGTAATATGCCTAATAATATTACAAAATGATTTAACATTATGGACCCGTTGAGATTCGAACTTAAACCCATTGGTAATTCTATTTTTATCCAAATGTCTTTTAGACAGTACATTCTTGTCGCTAAGTAAGAAAGTTTCGTAAAGTACGAAAAAAAATGACAATAGCTACTATAATACGATTGTTCAGCCGATGCGATGCACAGCAATTTATTTTTTATTGTTGTTATTACGTGAAGCATTGAAAATATCATTCTTTATCGTCGTCGGGTTCAATGAACTTGGTAATCGGCGATATTATCCGATCCGCGACCACGTCATCGTGGTCGTTTCATAGTCGCGGTCGCACGCGTAACGCGAGAAATTAGATCCCAGATATAATATAGTACCAAGTAATGTGAGTAGCGGGGAAAGTGATATACTATAATTCTAGCTATGATTTATAATCTGTATGAACTAGAGATGTACATATGCTAGTTATCTCGTGAAACACTAGTGTTGTCCCACTTAAGAATCTGTACAATTATTTAGACCACACTGTTAGGTTTTTATTATTTTACGCAGAAATACGACCTTAAACTAAAACTTAGGTTAATTTTAAATTATGCTAATAATGGTAATATTAAATTGACAATGCTGTGTACATTAGTGACTGGGTCCTACCTATTAATTTATTATGATGTATAGAAAAATGTAAATCTGTAAGTGATCAGTTGATGTACCATCACTACATAGTATAAAATAATGTCGCTTTTACTGTCCCGTACGCTTAAAATCTTAAAAACTACGCAACGGATGTTGATGCGTTTTTTTAATAGATTAAGTAATTCAAGAGGAAGGTTTTTATATACAACATTCACAGTTTTTTGTAGTATATTTAGTATTAGCACTCGAGCGAAGACGGGGCGTGTCGCTAGTAACAAATAAATAATAAAAAAACAATACCAATTATTAAACTTTTTAGGACGTTCATCGGTAATATGAGACAGACCTTCCTAAGTACGTTTGAACCATTCTATGTGCTGTTAGCCATTCCAGCTGATAATGCGTCACCTGCACCGTTGCGATTAATTATGCCGCCCGCTATAATGAGCCTTGGCCTGGGAACAGCACACCGCAGCAGTCGCCATTATAAGCATTAGAAATGTCTCACTGTAACTATTTTGTATTCGTAATATTACCCGTTACATCACAAGTTTCCGCCACAAAAGGTCATATTACATTAATATAAAAAAAAAACAAACGAAAAAGGGTTATCATAACTAAAATTAATATTTAAATGTTTGGAGGAACCTGCTCTAACAAAGAAAAACATTAAGAACTTGTAACATAAACTTGTCGATAACATGAGTGGCGGCGAGTTTCTTGCCAGTTCTTCTCGTTTGTTATACGCCCTTAACTTGGGAACTAATAGTTAATGTAAATTTAGAGTTTTTAATGTATTGACGTTCATAAGAGTACTTAGCAACATTAATAAATGATTTTTTTAACGTGATTATATTTGTTTTAAATCTTAAATTACCTTAAAATTTACCCATTTTTGTAAATGAAAGAATTCTGGAATACTAATAGGAATTGTTATCAATTCTGACGTCACGTTGATTTACAATCTCTAGTTCAGGCTGTGTAGATCCATTATTTATTGGCCTGTATAAAGGGTTTTATGTATGTTATATAAACATATATTCTATCAAACTGTGCAGCGACTTCATGTTGTGCACTTGGCGTCTTACGGTTGTAGAAAGTTGGCCTTTGCCCTCTTGTTTGCGGCGTTTTGCCAGATTCCTAACGAAGAAGGGTTATGTTTTTTGAGTGTATATTTACATAGGGCTCTATAAATAATAATTATTACCTTTGTACACTTTAATTTTTCATAACCTGATAGTTAAATTAAAGCTTTAACATTTAAAATGTCTATTTATGACGAAGGAGGACGGACAAGCCAGAGGGTTTACTGGATGTTAGGTGAAATACAAAGTGCTCTGTCGACCCATTTTGGCTTTTGATATAAATCCACAGACTGATACCGAAACGCGAATGAACTTTACAGATCTTTTCATCTGTGGACGATCGTTCGTGAACCGTAGATAATTTCGATATTATTACCACTTACTACTTTAATATCTAGATTTCCAGACGAAGTCCAAGATGTTACAGAAAAAAATATAAATTGATTTGACACACGTTGGTCCCAGTGGAGATCGAACCGTAGTGGGTTGATTATGACCCATCGTACCACACCACCAAGAAGACCAAGTTACCAAATAAGTTTAACTAATACATCGCGTTTTAAACCGTTAAAGTGTTTTATTTAAATGTGTACTACTCGCGTAAACTATAGACAGTATTTAACCAAGAAGGCCGTTAATAAGTAATAAAGAACCACTGTAATTAATTTTTGTATTACTTCACAGTTACCATTCTATATTTATAGAGGTTTATATTGTTCGCAGATGATGATGAAGAGTGTGGTTTGTCGGAGTCACTTGGTGGTGATGGTGGAGCGGAAGGGGTGGGTGTGGGAGTCGGAGGAGGTGCGGCTGCGGGAGGAGGAGACACAGATGATGAAGGAATCGAGCGTGACTCGGAGCCACCCCGCTTGCATATCACACCGACGCATAGATTGTTCCTACTCGACGATGTTATTCAGGTATGTTCATCATACCATTACAAAAATAAAATACAAAAAAATTACTACTAACCCTGGTTATACTTTTAGAAGGAAGGGGCAGAGTTGTACCTACTCCATTATAAAAATACATTTATTTTTTAATAGTCTATGGATTGAAAAACAAAACTGCCAACATAAAAATAAGCATACAAAGCCAGTGGGCTTAGAAACTTTAAGATAAACAAATTTTTTATTATTAGGTAATAATTTTAGGACCAAGAATGAATTAGTAATAAAATAAGGTAAAATAAGTATTATTGAAAAAATAATGCGACCTTTGTTAAATTATTAAAGCCTTCATCGTATTTTGCATTTTCATATTGGGTTCGAAAAAAAATTTTCACTTTGGACCAGTCGTTCCCGAGATTAGCGGTTTTCAGATTTACGATATAGGATAGATTATTAGTATAATGTGAGAATATATTTAAAAAAAATACAAAATGGATGGTAATGTATGTTTGCAGCGATGTGTCTGGCACTGTGGGGTCTGGCGGGGGAGGAGCGGACGGCCGGGCTGCGGCGGGAGCGGAGCGCGCGAAGCGGCGGCCGCGCACTACAGGGCTGTGTGCCGGGCGCTGGTCGCCGAGGCGCTGGAACTGGCTTCGTTCCTTGCTCGTGTCCGCGTCACCGCCGCTAGAGACCTTGGTGCAGCGGAGGACTCCGCAGCACATCTTGACACGCTGCAATTTTCGGACTGGGTAATTGTTTAGACACCATTTACCATATGGTTTATCCCAAACATCAAGTGGTACCTTTCTAGATTCAACTTCAAAGGAGACAAAAAAATGATAGGCTTTTAACTTTCCAAAATTGTAACTTTTAAATTTTACGTAGAAAAGGCTGAAGTAAAAAAGAATAAACCAGAAGTTTTTTCTCTTTCAATTTTAAGCGGTATAGGAGGGTAGTTTGATATATTTTTGTCTGATCAAAGTTGGATTTAAATAGATGCTTACTGTATTTAATTATGTATTTGCTATACATGCAAAAACTATGTGTCTTAGCACTTTGTGAGTAGAATATTTGCCACAACACGTGTAGTAGTAGTAGTAGTTTATGAATACATTTAACGCTAGTGTCTCTATTGTGTTCAGTCTAACCGCAGGATCTGGAGAGCGCTTCAAGTAGGTACTTACAGACTATTTTACTGTATAAGAATTTTAATAATATCAGACCATTCCCATACCAATGCTGAATATTGAACTCGTACAATAAATTAATTATTAAAGAATTACACATATCACATATATGTTTTGCCATACATTATACTAAAACTAATAATTAGTGTATTTTATTTATTTATTATAGCTTTATTATTAAAAACGCACACCACACCCACAAAACAAAAAATATAAGAAACTTATGTACTAACTTTTATATAAAAGGCGGCCTTATCGCTAAGAAGCGATCTCTTCCAGGCAACCTAAAGTACATGAAAAAAGTCTTATTAATTGGCATAGTATTCTGTTAAAAAGGATGCCTTTAAGAGAATTGTAATGCGTACATTGAACATTTTTATAAATCAAACGCCTACAGTTTTTCAACGAGCAAATGTGCCGAACCAGATGTAACGTTCAGGTGTTATCAGGCGCGGTTTTGGATGCAAGTGATCGGCGAGCTTCGTATGGGCGTGAAACTGAAGAAGGTCAGCCATTCGAGAACACCTATTGAATATGAGCTGACTCCGTACGAAATCCTGATGGACGACATTCGCTCACGACGGTACAAGCTGCGCAAAGTTGACTCAGCCATACCACACAAGTATGGTTTTGCTATTTTTTCTGTTAAGCGTTGTTTTATTTAAACAGAAATATCCATACAGCCTCGTGGTTTTGTGGTAATATTGCAATATTAAAAGTCTACCTAAGCTACAAGTGATTATGCAGCCTTTATTACAAACTACAGCATGACATATACATAAACTAAAATAAATTTTATAAATAAAACAATCTCAAATAGTTGGTATTAGCTTCCGCCCCTGTATCAAATGGTTAAGCCTGGTTCGAATCCCGGGGCAAAATAGTTTGTTTCGGTCGGGCAAGGCACAGAAGTCCGGTGAACACAGGTTGACAGTGGTATGTCGATCAGAGAAATGAATACAGAAATGCGCTCGCCCCATGCCCCACGAGATGGAGTTATACTTAATCTTGGTTTCATTTATTTTCTTAACTTGAATTCGCGTCTTAATAACATATTTTTTTTGTTTACAGTGTAAAGAAGGACGCACACGCAATGATCTTAGAATTCATCAGAAGTAGACCACCGCTCAAAAAGGTAGACCACCATTCATCAAAATATTATTATTATTTAAATAAAACACGGTTCAAAATGCGAAATATATTAATGAAACTTCTTTAAAATACGGCCCGACGTTTCGGATGCCTTGTATAAATTTTTAAAATCAAAAAGTTTTTTTTAATCTGTACTAGTACTGTACTAAACTTCAAAAGAGGGAAATGGATGAAATAGTCAGTGTGGACTGATCACCTGGCTTCTATCTGTGTCCCCAACAGAAAATAATAATAACTAACATGAATTTAGGTCAATTTGGTCTATCAAGCGTCTTTCTTTCCGAAGTTCGTTCATTGTAGTTTGCTCTTAGTCTTATTAAGTTACTTTTCAGGCGTCAGAACGAAAACTAGCGCCTGCTCGACGAGAAACAACGCCACGAGAACAACTCCTACGCTCCATCCAGCAGGGTCGACCGCTGCGGCCTACGCCCTACTCGCGCCGGTTCGGTAAGTGCCTAAAATTTAGTATTGTCTATAGTACATATTTAATAAAACACGTTTAATGGTTTAAAACGCAAATTTAATAGTTATTTTACAATTTATTTTAAAGTTGGTAGCGGTCGTTGAAAGTAAATTAAGTAATATATTTCGCGTTTTAAACTGTTACAAGTGTTTCATTATAATAGTACTGCTAAATGCATTTTTATAGATGCCGACATTTTTCTTATACGAGTAGACTTGTCAGTAAATCCCAGTATACATAGATATATAAAAATCAATGCCCTGGCTAATAAGAGTTCTAAAATTAGCAATAAATTAAGAAAATGGAAATATCATATAACTGACTAATATGGTTCGTATTAATAGCCTAGAAGTTAGTGATAAATATTGTAGTTTAAGTGGGGTTTAGTACAGTGACAGTTGGTCTTATACATATTACTATAAATCATTTTTATTTCATAATTTATTTTTCATCTTCCTATCCTTTTCCAGGTCATATTTAAAATGCTCTCCCGAATCCCTTCCTTAAATCTGCCCGTACCACAGGCCTGTACTGAATATTTCAAGATTCCTTCATATTTTGTTTTATTAGAATTAGTGTTTATGAAATTTATTTGTTGTGAATGAAATGGTTTTTATATTCATTTTATATATTATATAAAACACACCTGAATTAAAAACGCTATATATTTCATTTAAATAACAATTTTTTCATCTATGCATTTAATTTACCACAACTATGAAATAATAGGGCCTTTTTGGTTAATTGGTACCCAACTAACGATCATGAGGTCGGAAGTATGATCGGCCTTATACCAATTAATTCTTAACAGTGGAAATCGGCATGCGTTTTTCTAATATATACCCTTTATTTGGCCAGCTATTAAAAGGTTTGAATCTCTGCTTTTTTCACTTGACGAAGGGGACCCCCCTTGACGATACCCCAGCCACATAAAATCTCAACAAGATGAGCTGTCGACCCCGCAATGAGAACTATTAAAGAATTCCTCTCACTGAATATTTTTTGTTCGTTTCGCTTAATTTTACTTACATCACCGTATGTCATTATACAATTAATAATTTAAACATATTACGTTATAGTATTTTTTGCTACTGAGAACAAAGTCGAATACGTTTAATATTATATATTTAAACCATTAGAAATGTTATAAAATATGTCTAAGAATTTTTGTCTGTCTGTTTATCTTGAATCACGTGAAATCTCCTATTGTTATCTGTGTTAACCTGCTAAAAGCACTATTATATGGTTGAGGAAGACAGCATGGGGGTCACTAGTTAGGTGAAAAACGCCAGCCATATAACATCTAAAGAAGGTGCGCTGTCAGCCTATTTTGGCTTTTGATATTTGGAAATCCACAGACTGAACCGAAACGCGATTAAACTTTACGGCTTTCATCTATGGACGGTGGTTCGTGACCAGGACGGAATTTCAATTTTATAACCACAAATTTAACAATCAGGATGTTCAGTGGAAGCAGGTTGAACACGTTGCAGAAAAGTTTGAAAATGAATAAATAAATCATGGAACCGGGTAGATAGTCTAGCAAGATTCAGAAGAATTTTGTGTTCGACCCGGTGGTGATGAAACCACGACCCGATGATTATTAACAATACATTGCTACCATTACATCAACGAGCTCGTCAAATGTCAAATTACTAGTGTATCAATAAAACTGAATTTACGAATAGCTTCGTGTAGTTATCCAACTTTAAATTACAACTTGGATTTAAATGAAACACTTTGACGGTTTAAAACGCGATATATGCAGAAGCCGAAACGTAAACGAAATAAGTTAAACTAATATATCGCGTTTTAAACCGGTAAAGTGTTTTATTTAAATGTGTACTACTCGCGTAGACTATAGACAGTATTTAATTACAACTTGGAGTTAAGAATAGCATATCAAATGATTACCGGTGAATTTTAAAAACAATGGAGTTTATAAATAAATATTTCACTGTTCTCGCGAAATTCCAATCTGTGTTATACGTGAGGCGGTTTTTAAAACAATACTGGATGTGATTACCTTTTAAATTGTTTTCTTCGAATTCTGAACTGAAGAAATTTAATAATCAAAAACAATTGACGATTAAAACTAGGTTACGAGAAAATATTCTATAACTATTAACGATTATCGACCGCCTCTGTAGCTAAATGGTTAATCGTGTTGCTTAGCATTGCGTTAAGCGCGAGAGTTCCTGGGTTCGAATCCCGGGGAAACAGTAAAATGTTTCGGTCGGGCAGGGCACGGAAGTCTGATCACCTACTTGCCTGTAAATAAAACATGGACACAAAAATGTGTTCGCCCCATGCCCCACGAGGGGAAACGGGATTTCACTTAACACTTAATTAAAGATTACTTCAAAATAACCACTTTGTAAAAGGTGCTTGCGAAATTCAGTGTAAGTAGGTACAGAATTCATCTGGCCAAGTTACGTAAAACCTCGCGATATGCACGGCCCTTCTTCAACCAGCCATTGCTTATATACAATGAAGTACTCGCGCACTAACTAGATATAACAACTATAAGATACCTACTGATGTGAATTATTTAAAAAATAGTAAGTACTTTTGTCTATGATAGGTAGCCCATGTATACCCGAGACGGGTCTTGAGTTCGATTCCCATAGATCCAAAAATGTTATGTCTATGCTAATTGTTTTTTTATCAAATATTCGATTTTAGACACGGGCTGTTCTCTAACCAATAGAGCTACCGTCATCATACATGTCATCGTCGAATTTTTACAATCTTTTGATACAGGCACCGCTTGCGAATCGATTTTTAATTCATCATGGACATAACATGAGAACAATATTAAATTTAGTTTTTTTTTCTTCAACATGATACACGTATCATTCCTATTTAGAAACCTGGACATTAAATCAATGTTAGAGCCAATGACCACAGATAAAAAAGCCGTGAAGAGTAAATTCCCGTTTCGATTTTAATCTGTGATCTTTCGATCTACAGAACCATTATGGTTATAGCTGTGTGAACCACTCATCTGCCATAAAGAATCTAACAAGATTACATCTATATTACTATGAAGCACTCGATTCGAGGTGGCACGAGGCATTGCTGCGACCGGAAGCCGATCAAATCCTTCCTTGACATATTGCCCGCTTTACGGTTTTATGTCTTTGTTGTAAAGTTGATAACTATAATTGGAATCTATACGTATTATATATATACACTTTAAAGAGACTTTGCTATAGCATTTGAAACGTCGGGTCGTAGTTAAAATAATTTGTAAATAAGTTTAACTAATACCTTTCTCGTTTTAAACCGATAAAGGTGTATTTAAGTGTGTACATTTGCTAACAGTACTTATATGTACAATACTGGCCCAAAATTTCATATAATCTAGTCATTAGGTTTTATAGCCTAAGAAATATTGTAATGTTTAAAAATACATGTACCTACCAATAAAAACAAGTGACCAAAGAATTAAAGTTTTAAGTTTACCTTTTTAAGTATTTGTGCAATTGAAGTTATACATTCAAGCTAAGCTTCTAGTCTTCTCGCTAGTCTTCTAGCTAGTCTTCGTCAGGCCGCGATCTGCGCCAACCAGCTCGAGTGTTCTGAATCTGCACAGAGAATTCCGCAGTTCCGTGTTAGCGCTCCGCCATCGCAGTCGCGGTCGATTGGCTTACATTTTATATATATTTAACATTATCGTAAAGCATCCATGTACTTTTCTTTTTACTACCAAGTTTACTGACATTTTATATTAACTATGAGTTAAGTGCACGATTATTTATTGTGGTTATTAACTGTGGTGGATTTTCAGTGAGATATCAGTGGCAACGTGTCGTAATAAAGACGTTTTTCAAAGGATTTTAGCTAGGCTTTCGAGCCATACGTCAGATTGTCCTTTTTCACTAAACAGTACTTACGAAATGGGAGTATGTGTTACAAGCACACTTACAATGGAGATGAGCCGTAAGTGAACTATAAAAACCTTGAATATTTAGTATAAATTATATTGAATATTAAAGTTGGTTAAGTGAGAACTAAATACTGTCTATAGTTTACGCGAGTAGTACACATTTAAATAAAACACTTTAACGGTTTCAAACGCGATATATTAGTAAAACTTACGGGGTCACGGCTGCTGCAAAGCATCCGAAACGTCGGGCGGAAGTTAAGTAAATACAACAACAATAAAAACGCGTAAAAAGAATAATCAGTCAATGTCGTTTGTGGTAATATTTTAATTTATACTGGATCTTTCATTTGTAAGAAGATATAATATAGAGTATGTATATACAGGTGTTGTTGCATTGCGTAAGTTCGTGGTGCTGGTTACAGCTAGTGATGTTTTTATCAAGATAACGGCACCTACGAGTAGCTCTTTGTGATAAAACATGCGGTTGTAGTCAGATTTTGGTATCCAATTGTGACAGCTTAAATAACTATAATGGATGTCAATAAGAAAACAAACAGTTTACAACACAAAAAGATTTAAAGTGTCATCTGGAGTATCTTTCTTTATGAGGGTAAAATAAAGACAAGACTAGGCTTCCCGTGATGGAATATAAACTAACATCTTACTAAGATAGTTAGACCTCTAGTAAGTTTATGACGTGAATATAATAGTTAATATTAACGATTATTAAAGAAAAGTAGCTGATAATAATAATTTAGAAAACGTAATGCATATACATTGTTAATACCCCGCAATAAAAACGGATTCAGATAAGAAAAATGCTCTAAGATCACTGACGTCAACCTTAGTTCACTCTTGCGTCAGTGTTGATGTTTATAGCAGATGCACAGAAGCAAAATATTCCAACATCTAGTCTAAAGTGTTACGTGGCTAAGATGAAGAAACAGAACCATACTGGAGCAAGATATGAATTGATGTTATTATAACGGTTGCAAAGGTTTTAGGTCATTTAGCGCGGCCTCTGGCGGTACAGTTACAGGAATTAGTCACGAGCACCAGTGGAACTAAGATCCTGCATTTTTGACTGATGAC